TGTTCTAATGAATTCCACAATATATTATATTACGGGTTCTTCTAATCAAATGGTTTATTTAGATGTGAGGTATTTGAAACTTTCTTTAATATTGTTTGTTAAATGCGACTTGAACTGTTAATAATTCATTCCTTGAAAAAATAATTAGAAATCCGTTTAAAACAAGTGATTCGTCGTTGCCCTGGGTAAATCTTACACAATTGTCGCAGATACTTCCACCAAGTTCTTTTTGCACGGCAACCCTTGTTGAGGATAAGATTTTTCTAATCGGGGGTCTATATGGAAATGACAATTTTAACAAATCCAATCTTATATTTTATGTTTTTGACACGAAGAAACAAATTTGGAATCAAACATTGACGATAAATCCACCAGCAAATAGAATATCTGCTTCTTCAATTTATAACCCCAAAACGGGAAAGATTTATATTTTTGGTGGAAGGTTTAATAGCAGTACTATAAGTACAACTAGTGATGCAAATTCTACGAATTATCCGCTCGATATGAATATATTAGACCCTATTAGCTATAAATGGTCTAAAGGAAGTTCATTTAATGGACCATCCGGGCGTGATGATCAAGCAGTCGTGTTGCTACCATCCGGATTAATCCTTTATATTGGTGGTAGAAGCCCAAATAATGGAGGATACATTAATCCAAGCATGACAGAGGTTATTATATTAAATTTATATTGTCATACAGTAGCAGTATGGATAGTCTTAATAACTTTTTTTTTAAATGTAGCTTTACGCTTATGATACAAATAATGATACCTGGACAACAAAAGTAAGCATTTTTTTTTTAAAGATAAATATATAAAAAAAAGAGGCAAATATATTCAATTTTTTATATGTTATCCAGATAACAACAGGTTACAATCCGTCTCCTCGTGGGAGTGCCCAAGCTGTATTAAGTAATTATTAACATATTATTTTATTTATAAAAGCTATTATTAAATGAACTAAATTTTTGTAAATTCGTATTATTTAGTTGACGATGGCCGAGTTATAGTTTATGGTGGAGTAATTGGTGGCGCTTCAAATCAATTGGGTTTACCAGTAAATGATGCTCTCGTTGTATTAGATACAAAAGATTTCAGTTGGACTCAGCCATCTGTATCTTCAACTCCCCCGCCATTAAGTAGATATCAAACTGTAACATTAGTAGGATATTATTTGATTGTAGCCTTTGGTCAAATAATGTCTGGAGATACTGGGATTTCAACTAGTAATATATATATTTTAGACGCAAGAAACAAAACTGATTATAAATGGATTGTAGATTTTGATCCTAAAGAAGCAAAAACTTCTTTACAAACCAATGCAACTAATACAGATGTTCCCCAGACTAATACATCTGTTCCTCAGACTAATACATCTGCTGGTAATTCTGGTAATTCAGAAAAAGCTAATATCGGTTTAATTGTTGGAATTGTAATTGGGGTGGCCGTGATAATTGCGATTGGAAGTGCATTATTATGGTATTGTTATTTTAAATCAAAAAATGTTAT